CTGCACCATCGAGAGCGTCCTGACGGCAAACATCTGCACCTGGTTTGGGAACAGCACCAAGCACGACAGACGAGATCTGCAAAGAGTGGTGCGCTCAGCCAAACGCATCATTCAATCAGAGCTCCCTGACCTGCTGTCCATCTACACCAAGCGGTGCAAGACCAAAGCTAGGAAGATTATGATGGACCTCTCCCATCCCAACAATGGACTCTTCTCACTGTTGAGGTCTGGGAAGCGCTTCTGCTCCCTTAAGGCCAAAACAGAGAGAATGAGGAGGAGCTTCTTCGCCCAGGCTATTCAGGCCCTGAACCAGGTGTAGGACTGTACTCTCACACACACATCACATCACCACACGCACCACCACACACTTCCTATAATTTAGAATCTTTATAATCTCTTGCTGCTATTTGCACATTTTTTACTGTAAATTTCTAGGTTAATTTGTAAATTTTGTAGCAACCTGTAAATTGTAAATACTATAAAAACTTTTTTCTGTCATTTAATGGTCCGGCATTGCACAGCTACAAGCATTTCACCCCCATGTCATACTGTGTATGGTTGTGTGTGTGTGACAAATAAAATTTGAATTTGAATATTATTAAAATATGGGCTATAACAGTTGTATTGATGTATAGCAACTTGAAATGCTCCCAAAAATGGCACTACAGCATGTAAAAATATAAAGTAATAATGGATTGGATTTATATAGCGCTTTTGAAGGCACCCAAAGCGCTGCTGGACCAAGGCCAGGAAGATCGTGAAGGACCTCAGCCATCCCAACAACAGACTGTTCTCTCTGTTGAGGTCAGGAAAGCGATTCCGCTCCCTGAAGACCAACACAGAGAGACTGAGGAGGAGCTTCTTCCTGCAGGCGATACGGTCTCTCAGTCACACCACCACACAGTACTGACCCACACATATGGTTCTTACACACACACTGAACATTCTGGACATTGTTTTCACTTCATCACTTAAATCACTTTAAGCATATTTGCACTGCACAAGTCACTTACAAATGTGGATTGCACAACACTGGACATTATATTCTTCATTTCCATTTAATAGTTGTACAGCTGCTGTTATTGTGTATATATATATATATTTATATTTCTTCATACATTCTTATATATTTATACTATATGTACAGTTATTTTATTTTCAACTTTAATTTATATATTTTATCTTATTCTTTCCCAGTTAAATTTACCCTTCATTCTAATTTGTGTTGTACAGTTATTTCATTTTTAACTTTAATTTTTATATTTTATTTTATTTTATTTTATTCCTTCCTAGTTAAATTTACCCTTTTTAATTTTCATATTTATTTCCTATCTTATTCATAGCCTTTTCTTTTTTCTTTAGGTCACAAGCAGTTGTGTAAGCATTTCACTGCATATCGGAATGTGTATGACTGTGTATGTGACAAATAAAATTTGAATTTGAATTTTACAATGCCACTATTCATTCACTCTCGCATTCACACACTGGTGGAGGCAAGCTACAGTTGTAGCCACAGCTGCCCTGGGGCAGACTGACAGAAGCGAGGCTGCCATATCACGCCATCGGCCCCTCTGGCCAACACCAGTAGGCAGTAGGGTAATGTGTCTTGACCAAGGACACAACGACCAGGACAGAGAGCCACAGATGCGCTTCCCAACCCCCTGAGCCACGGTCGCCCCGCTCTGGCGGACTTGGTTCTATGGTAGGTCTTAAAGGGTTAAGCACTGCTTCCAGCCAAGAGTGATACCATAAATCTCCTATAGCTGCAGAAAAAGCTAACATTGTCATCTTACAAAAAAAACAGCTAAACATGAGAGGTTTTTGGACAAAGTTTGTGTTCTTCATTCTTTAAGCACCGGTTCGAGCACCGGTTCGAGCACCGGTTCGAGCACCGTTTAAGCACCGGCACCGTTTCAAAAGTACCGGTTTGGTACTGGTATCGGATAAAACCTAAACGATACCCATCCCTACCGTTGATGCCTGGTGAACTAGAATAACAGGTCCATCAGTCAGTTAGCTCAGTTTCACTTTTGATGGCAGAAACTTCAGGACATGAGCACACAAGTATAAGAAATATGCAGCAGTAACTCTAAAGCCAGGGCTATAAATAAAGCTTCACAAAACGGCTGTAGAAAGGAAGAACTGGCAAACACGAGAGGACCTGACTACCACTGCTCACCCACCAGGTGCTGTGCATGTCACAACTATCACAACCATGGGTCATTTAAATAATTACCTTTTATACTAGAAGTGGCACTGAAGTGGAATAGTATGTGCCACCATCACCTAATTGTTGAAGAAAATGCAAGACTTCCACATCCTGCCTCCACTTACAAAAACCAAGGTGTTCTCCTTCCATCCTGTGAAGGATTCTCTTTTACTAGAAAGCACTGTGTCCTTTCAAACAGCAGAGCTAAACCAGGAACAATTTGAGGCGATCAGGCTTCTGACTACACTCTTCATGTGATTTACATGCAAAGATGGCAAAGTAATGAAGAAAGAATAGTAATGAATGAAGTATATATATAATAATGTGTTTAGTAATAAAGAACTTACAGCTTCAGATAGGTTAGAACGTTGCATGCAGACTGAGAAAAAATTAGAACAAGCTGTGCCTGTTTTCTGCAAGTTTCAACTGGGACTCTGCCTACATACGTGTAAGCAGTTTGGAATGACATGTGAGTAATATCAGAATGAGTGGGAGCTTCTTCTTAAGTATGACACAGACATTCGTCTCCAAGGCGTCAAATGATCTTTTTGAACTTTCATTTTATTGCTTTCTTTTGTTAATGTCCTCAAAAGCCACAGCCACTGAAAACCAAATCATTTAAGGATTAACATGAATGAGGAAAGCGCTGCTATTCTCTGTCAGATTCATGTCTAACTATGGGCAAAGCATGTCGGGATGTTGAATAGTTAATTGCGTATTAAAATTTACATTTTTTTTAACTTAAATTTGTCGTTTCTTAAAATGTAAAGGGATTTACAAAAACCAAAACTGAATTAAAAACATATTTTTGAATTCTGCATTTAAAAATACAATTTAAAAAGTCAAATAAATAAACAATACCTTCTTTTTTTTCTTTTCCACCAATCCTTTTCAATTTCATTTCGATGTCTTTTTGCATATTTTATTTCACAGCTCATTATTAAATTACAAAATATTGTATTTATATATGGAGGACTTTCCTGATCCTCCATATATAACCACCAAAATCATTGGGAGTCTTCTGTGTTCTGAATATCACCTGTGTGCTGCCCAGCGTATCTGAAGCCTCATGCTGGTCTCTCTGTTCTGGGACGTCTTCTGGTCTCTGCTGTAGACTGAAGCCCTCTGACTGTCAGTCCTGACCTGCACACACAGGCATGGCCATTACTAAACATTGAAAACAGTGGACGTTCTATGCATGACTCGAGTTTTTGGTCACAGAAAAACACTCAGGTTTCCTGCACACAGACTTTACTGAGCATCTTCCTCAGCTCATTCCAGTATGAAGGTCACCATGTGAGATGAATTAATTAGTGGACAAACACAGCTTTTATTTTGAAAGTTTAGTCACTAGAGCCCTGTATTGGCAATTTGCAGATATTTTGGTGTCTGCATTTATTGGGGGTCATATAATTAAAATTTAAGAAAGGAAAGAGGAGAAACACCCTTCAACTATGAGTGCTAATGTTGCTGAATGCCCTCTGACAGTCACACTCTGTGTCAGCAGCACGTATTTGGACCAAAAAATAAATCTACAAGAACACACACACTCAACCATCAAATTTTACGTAACATCTTATCAGCAAAGACTCATAAAGATCACATTATTTTTATGGAGACTAGCTGACAGTGTAATAACTGTAAGATAATTTGTTCCTTAAAAGCAAGCAAAAACAGAAGTAGTTAAAAACACTATATTAGTGTAACCTGTCACATTGTCTAAGTGCTCTAACTCCAACTCTTTAGTACACTGTGGTCCACAGAACGCAGGCTTACCACACAGTTGTAACGTATTAACAGTTATTAACTTAAACTGTCACTTAAACTTAAACTGTCATTTCTGTGCACTTTGTTTTTTACACATGCATTAAATTAAAGTCGATTAGGTCAATTAAGCATTATAAGGCAGAAGGTGGGGGGTGGTTCCCTTTCTTTTTTGCTGGGAGTTGGCAACCCTATTAGTTAGGTTATTTAATATTTCTGCTAAGTTCTCTTTAAAATACCTGAATAGGAAGGATGGTGCAGCTTTAAGTTTATTAGATTGATCAGTTTTGCTGAACTATTAAATATTTTGGGTGCAGTGTATTTTTTGCATACAGGTGTAACAGAGTAGCTTTAGTTTAGTTTAGTTTTTTTAAACTTGAGTATGAACTTATACAAAATGCAGCAAGATATTTTAAAAAAAACGTTTTATTGATTATAAAATACGCTATATCGGATTTATATCGGTATCAGCAGATATTGAAATTTATGATATCGGTATCAGACATAAAAAAGTGGTATAGTGCCATCTCTGCCATAGAGTGAGATCAACCAGACTGCAATAACTCAAAACACTCCTACCCTTCCCCATTTAAGAAGAAGTTTCTAACACATTAAATGAAAAGAAAGGCAACTTTGGAGATTCCACTCATTGTAAAACAAAACCTTATAATTCTGAGTCAATGCCGAGACCATACACATAAGAACAAGAAGACACCACAACCAAAGACTGCCGGGAAAAGTGGGTGAAGAACTTATTAAACAGGAACCTCCCTGAAACTGAAAAGAAGAAGCTAACCAAAGGACTCAATTTTGCCATCTCTCCACCACAGCTGCCCATAGTGGACCTCATCACAGGCACAGAAACAGCGATACGGATTAATAAACGAATACTTCCTCCATCTAAGGCTGCCACTTCCCTGCGCAAAGACCAAAACATCACCACATTACCAACTGACAAGGGGAAGGTGCATCATTGTTCTAAACTCAACTGATTATCACACCAAAATGACCCCACTGGTCCTCAGTGACAACAACACCTATGAGCCCTTAAGACAAGACCCCAGAAGCAAATATAAAAATAAAGTCATCAGTTTGAGCTGTTTCACTGCATCCTCGGTATCTACAAGTAGGCATCACAGGGCTGTGTGGATTCAATAATATAGCCTAATACAACACATCACACTGTCCCTGAATTATTATGCAACAACTTCCTGAATGAAAATTTATTCCACCCAAACCTCAGCCTCCTTATATTTCTTTTGTGCATCCATCTCTGACTGCACGAAATGTCCAGAAAAGTGGACATCAAACTCGGAATACTATGCTGAGAAACAAAAGTACAAATGTGCAGATTACAGTTGTCTTTTCCTGCCAAACATCTACAAAACGCTTTGTGTGACTGAGTGGCACATGATCAACTCTCTTACCAAGTCTTGTGATACAAGACACAGCCTCTTCATTTACACAAGGGTATAACCTGCGGTTTTCTTCTGATAGGCGCAGCTTTCTTATACTTATCACTCCGTGCTTATGTGCTAGAAGCTAACTTTCCCCCCCCCTCAAAATACTATTTAGACTCTAACATCGAAATTTCGACTTTATTCTCAAAATTATTCTTTTTTTTTCTTTCTTAATGCGGTCCCATTGCTCCCTCGTATTAAATCAGTATGAGTGTTTACTGCATCCCTGCTGCCGTTAAGTGGTAAGAACTCCAGGGACAGATTAAGAAGCCTTTTATAAATGCTCGGAGAAAAGGCCGGGGCGGCGGGTGTCTGACACAGTAAATGTGGCCTGTGAAGGTAAATGATTTTATTGCTCCGAGTCTCTTAACAACCGGCCTACCAGCCCTTCAGAAAAAGTAAAAATAAAACGAAGCTCAACATTTTTGCTTTTCGTAGCTTCGGCTTTCTCCTTTGCTAACGTCTCGAGCACGTAGGTCTGTCGGGACGGTCCTGCGCAGAGCCGAGGATTGTGGATAAATGCGCCATAACGTTTTTACAAACGCTGTTTAATTAAATTCCGCTAAACTGCGTGAAAATATCACATGGATAATCAACTGTTTATTTACAAGTAACGCAAATATTTTTAATACAGCGAAGCTTTTGTAATAGGACAAAAAGAAAAGATACAGCATCAGCGGTCGACTGTTAATATCGGCAGCTTCAAAATGTAGCAAAGCACTGACCAGCAACGAAGGCTCAAGTCAGCTTACAGGCTGACCATTGTGTCCATATCGAACCAAACTGTATTTTACCCCCAACTGCTGACGCCTTTCAAACCAGCTTCTACTGTTTCGCCTCATTTCGTTATGACTCACCCTTCCATAGATATCCAGGAGCGGTCACGGTGCATCCTTCGCACGAGGGTACATGATCACATCTCGAGATTCTGCAGCTTTATCACACCACCTTCACTGGTCGGTCCTACCGCAGGAGACCAACCAACCAATCAAATTGCGTAAAAGTTCCCATCATTTCCGTTCTTTCGTAATAAAAGCCTCCCAACATTTCAGTGTCCCGTTAGCGCTACAAGCAACGGTAGCTGTTTGCAAAATTTGTCCACAAAACATGTTGTAAACTGACATGCACAGAAAAATCCGTTAGATTTACTCTTAGAACAGTAGTAAAGCAGATTTATAAATCGAGATAAATACACAGAACCAACTTTACAGGTTACACAATAAGGTTTAGGATAAATAGGCCACAGATGTAAAAGTGTAAATAAATCAGGAGAGAAACATTAGATACATTTTGTCTGGGTGCAGGACTGGATCAATGAACTCACCTCACACTGGACTGGTGGACTGTGACCACGGAATATTTTCAACACACTAACTGAGTGAGCTTATGCTTTAAAGTACACACTAATTACTCAGCCACCTACACATTACACATGCAGGAGCTGCTTACTCATGGACACCCATATCATGACGCTCTGGAAAGTTTGGAGTCAGCAGTGACGGCGGTTTTTGCTCACTGTGTGCCTCAGCACTTGGTGATTATGCTAACTTTAATCATCTTGGATGACCTGTTGCACTTCTTAATCATTATCTCTGCAGTAACAGATATTTTACAGACTGACAGTGGCATCCTGATAGAGTACGGCCCTTGAACACAGTGAGAGCTTTAGAATGACACGTGCACATATGTTTGTAAATCTAGACCTCATGACCTCAATTCACTGAAAAGACTGACCTCTGTTCAGTACCAGCCTTGAGCTTGAGCTACAGTAAGTAATCAGATTCATCTTTTTTTCCTTTACCAAACGCACTTAATAAAGACACACTGGACCTGCTCAAGGCCTGTCCATAATGCTGAATGACTATTGTTGTGTTCCCACAAACTTAAATTGATGTTGTTTACAATTCAAACAGTCCCAATACTGTCACAAAATACATACATAACAAAAATACAAAATTCAATATTTCCTTTTATTAAGAAATGAAAACAAATTGACTTATTCCATCAGTTTTTATGTTCTTTTAATGAAACATTGCAGCCTGGAAGGCTTTTGCTAAAAGGAAATAAACATATTTACTGATGCATTCTGTAGAGGATGTAAGGAGCCTGCAGACCGGATCAGCTGTGATCTTATCACATCATATCTAACCACTGTCAGCATCTCTGTCTCTACTGCAGAGGCTGCTTCAATTCAAAGAGTCCTGTTCCACCTCTGACTACTTTCCCCACCACCAGGCAGGCTGAGGGTGACACCAGCTGATCATGTGATCCTGAAGGGGGGGAAAGAGGAAGAAGAAAAATACTTTACTTAACAACAATGCTGAAAATGTATTTCTACACATTTACTTCTGACTGATGATCAAACCCGATTTAGTACATAGAAAAAACAAAGAGCCTAACGCTGGTAGACGAGTAGCGACCCTCGTAAACTGGGATTTCTCTTCAGCTTTCTATGCATTATCAATGTTGTCATCCTTACCTAGCATGGTGGCCTGCTTGAGGAATTTGTAGCTGGTCTCGAAGGTCATCTGCTGCAGAGGAGAGGAGTTGGACCGGATTGCGTGTCGGTTCAGTGGCTTATATACACCTTCATAGCACATGTAGTCTGCTACCAGTGATAGATGTCTGGGGTCAACTTCAATACCTGGAGAGAGACGGAGGAAATCTGAGTGATTCTGAGAGCTTTGCTGGTGTGGGGGTTTTTGAGTGCGAGTCTAAATAAAAGCATGTTTACCATAGACAGCAAAGACATTTTTGATCTCTTTCTCTATGACCTTCAGTGCCACCTCAATTCCATATGTCTTCGCCATGGCGTGCACCTCATTGGAGTACAGTCTGTTGATGTCCAAGATCTGGAAGAAAATAAATAGAGCTGCAGTGTTGGGACAACTGAAAACATGCAGTCTGGTAAGACAGAGCCACTCAAATACAATAAGAAACTGCAGAAGCCTTTCCAAACTACAGAGGCGATATCGCCACAGTTACTCTCTGTATTTCTGATCGGACCAATCAAAATGTAGCTGGAGAAATCTTATCTGTAACCCAGCAACTTGTAACTCTGACCAGCTGTTTACCTTCACTTAATTTAGAAAGGCTTGCAGATGTGCAAAAAAAACAAAAAGCCACCCTTATAAGCACGGCATTGTTTCAATTTCACCACCTACATCACTGTACTTGAAGATTTCATGCATGTTGATTCCCTCAGTGTTCAGAACGGTTTCCTTTTCTCCGGTCTTTGTTGTCGTTTCGCTGAGCAGGCAGCGCGTCAGGCCCTTGGTCTCCATGATGACGGCGTTCTGGGCCAGCGATGTCAGCACCGAGGTCAGATCAAAGTGCACCTTGCTCACAGGTAATGCCAGGTCAACCTATAAAGGAGACAGATGAGAGTTAATCTACTTCCTGTAGCTGCATACCTTAGCGCCATGCGTGTCAGTGCAATCGCACTACGTCGTAATTTCCAAAAGTCCTCAGTTATACAAAACCCAGGCTAAAAACCCCACAAGGATCGATGCACAGGTTGTCTTCTGGAGGCAGATCGTCTTTCACACCAATGTTCCCTCTAAGCTGCGCGCGTGCGCAATTGCGCACTGCTGGCACGGTGTCTGCGCACGGTGTCTGCGCACAGAAAATCTGTGTTGCGCACAAAAAAAAAATCTAACCTGAATTGAAATTAAAATTAAAACTTTAACAATTCTGTTTTGCAGTGTTAGTCAGTGAGTGACTGGCTGCTCCCGTATGGGATTAGAACGATGCCACCTTATCCCATAGTGCAGCCAATGATGCGATTCACATTCGTATATATGCAGCTAATCAACGTGGTTGACTGACAGCGTCCTTATGTGCCGACACCGGTGTTTTAGCAAGCAAAGCGGCTGATGTGGAGTGAAGCCACGTTAATGACAACGTGTACAACCATTGGAGATGTGAGCAGGACAGACGGAACAACTGATGGAAAAAGTGTGGACTTTATACCAGTTTTTAAATTGTGTTGATCGACCACATAAAACCAGAGTTATGTTAAAAATATCTGCAATGTTTGGTTTTCTTCCTGAATACTGTCGTTGTTTATATTTACTGCGGGAAGAAACGGTAAAAACTGCGTTTTATAAGGAAAACGCTCAAAAACCTGTGAGCAAAAACAAAACCAAAAAACCGCCTTTCCTATTGGTGGAAAAATGTACCATGTGGACTAATCAAAAAATGATATGGCAACATGGCATTTAGTTGTTTAGGGAGGGGGAAGTTTTAGGAGTGACGGCGGTGTTTGAGATGTGAGAGATTTGCGACGTTTAGCGCAAATCTTGTTTCGTTAGTGTGTTGTGTAGTCAATAGTTTTGTTGTGTGTGTCAGAACAATGAGGCGACTGCTGAATGTTACAG